TATATATAGACCTATATATCTATATATAGATAGATATATAGATATATACACACAGTATATATATATCCATAGTGGAGAGCCCCACCAAGAACCCCAAGTCTGAATTAGTATGAATGCATTTGTATGGTTTCCTGTAGGTTCGACTGTTCTATGATACCTTCTGCAAAATAATAAAAAAATAAACTTGTGTTAAAATGATCCATGTATGTGGTAAACCATTAAAACAGCAAGAATTAATTCTCCCTTGTTTGTCGTCATCCAGCTAAGAAAAGTAGCAGGAAGGAAATGTGGTTTAGCATGCAAGGTGTATTGTGGCCTCTTGCAGATATCAGTGGTTCAGCAAAATGGCCAGGTAAGTGGTTTGCACGTATTTAAAAGATGCCATCTGCTTGTTTTAACAGAGTGATCTTGTTTTTGTGTGGACCCAATGGACTTCAGGTTTAGGAACTATTTATGTTGGCTGTGCTGTGGATAACCGCAGCTACAAAAATAGAATAATGTGGGTGTTCAGGTAGAGGCACTGCTAAGTTCAGACGTCAACAAGTGTATTCATATTAACAAATATCCGTCTATCCTGGCGAGATGTAATAGCACTGGCTTTGGAACGGGAGTCCCGAATTTCTAATTTTGACTTCTTGTTTCCTGTACATAGTAATATGTTGGATTAATTGTCCGGTTAAAGATGAGAGAAGGAGCAAAATAGCAATTTCTAAACAAAGTATACATAAATAAAAATGAAAACTAACAAGTACTTTGAACATTTAAATTCAATGTACAAACTGTCTATTCAAGTCACTTTTGATACCTGTCTGTGTTTCTAAAAATGGCTTCATAAACAGGCTGTGGGGGGAATTTATCAAAACTGGAGCAGACAGAAACTGGAGCCGTTGCCCATGGCAACCAATCAGCTTCTCTCTTCAGTTTCATAAGTTAAGATTTGAAAATGAAAGAGAAAAGTTGAATGTTTGCCATGCATAGTTGCTCCAGATTTTGATAAATCCCCCTGCTCAGATTTATGTCAAATCAATTACAGTAAGGATAAAATAGAATTGTGTCTCTAATTACCATTATCCAATCTGAAAACAATTTGCATATTTTAAAGTGGACCTATACCTAAAAGTTAAAGAAGAACTCCAGGAAAACTTTTTATTAACCCATGAAGTGGGGTTACCCCTGTCCCGGTTAAGTGCTTGTTTGTGTCTAGATGCAAAAATAACAAAGCTATACTCACCTGAAGCTACGAACCGGCCAGCTGTCACATCGCTTCCTCCAGCCTGTGTCCTCTTCCTCAGGTCTATACACAGTATATAGACATGATGATTTACGGGACCTTAGACCGCTGCAAAGGAGGGGGAAAGAGGCTCCCGGGACCGGTCTAAGAACAAGCCAACTTGGAGCATCCGGTGAGTACAGTAATACTTTTTTTAACCTAAGCAAAAACAAGTAGCTAACCTTTGCAGTGCGGGGGTAGCCCCACTGCAGGGGTTAATATTTTTTTTTCCCTGGAGTTCTTCTTTAAAGTTGTACTAAGAACCTGAATGTGTCTTGCTATCAGCCTCCTATAATTGCTTGCACAGCAGCACTGGGAAAGAAAGGCTAAACACTAAGCGGTATAGGGAATTTTCTAATAGGAGAGAGCAGAGTAAGCTAAAGCAAATCTGATCTTTAGATCCTCCACTACAAAAGAGATCAAGTGACAGAATGCCAAGAATTGTGTCCACACGACAGGTAACAGAAAGATCTGGGCACAGCAATTTCTACAAAAAAGTAAACATTTTAGCCCTACTTTTGTACCCTGGCAAGACAAAGATTTTAGTTAACATTAAATTAAAAGTCTTCTCAAAAGGGACCAGCATGAATGGATGAACTGATACAGCTTTTCCATGTCCCATGAATTATACATACAGTATACACTCGGGTGGACCTTGACATTTCATAAAATTCTGGTTATTAGGTACTTGCACCTATCTTCATTGATGGCAAGCTACACTGTTTGCTGATTGGGTACTGCATATAATATCTATTTTGTCCGACCAGGATTTTCCATCATATGATTATTTTCTTCTTATTAGTTTACGTCTTTTTATTAGCCAAATCCACACAACCAAGTCCTGATGGTAACTCTAGGTTAGAGCATTATAAGAAAACGGAAGGCAAAAAAAGGATCCCATCCATGCCGCACTGACTGTTAGGGTAAAGCCTTATGGTTTCAACCTCAACTGTTAGCGTGGCACCCAGTCTCAACAACATTAGACTGTAAAAAAACTTGGAACGTCTCCAGCTTGCTATCTCTGCCAATGCAATGTGAAACGGAATAATGATATATTTTCAAAACAAACTGTGAACCTGAAACCAAGTTAAACATTGTCATTCCCAAATCAATCCATTACAGATGACTCAATGACGCAATTTAAACATCTGCCATGCTGATGACTTAAATGCTGCACACAACAGGGAGAAACACAAACCATACAGCAGTCTGTACTTTTTAGACATGGTGTAGGGTTGTCAGTTCAGGGCACTAGAGACGAGCAATGCTTAACAGCAAATGGCCATGTCACATCTTAACTATGCGGTCCCACCCTTTGAGCACTCTGTAGTGTTAACTGTAAGTACGGTACCTGGATCTGTTCCATATCAGATATATTAGTTGAACTCAGGAAAAAAAAAAATCACTATATTAATTTAAACTTGATTAATATACACCGACGACAGGCAGTTAGGAAGCGGTCAATGCATGTGGTTTGTCTCAAATCTGTCAGTGAATGACGTAGTTGATATTAGTTTAAATATGAAGTCCTTCAAAGTGCCAACACACAGGTTCATCCACAGCGGATGCAACCATTTCAAGCAATACTTGCATCAGTTGGACCGTGGACATTCAGCATCATTTATTGAAGTGTTTCAAAGACCAGCTGCCTAAGACTGCCATCAATACAAGTAACCAACACATCTATTGCACAGAAACAAAAGAAATCAACAAGAATATTAGTAGAAAGTGCTCTTATCTGCTGTGAAATGATTAGTAACTGTCCAATCAAAAAAGGACCAAGTATACACACCCCATTATTTTTTAAATTTACTGGAAATTCATATCCAGACTGGTTTTGTCTAGGGGAGAAAATGAAGTAGAAATACTAACCTGGTTCTCGGTCCCTCCTGATGGGACCAATACCAACAGCCTCTTCTTCCCCAGGCTCCAGTGGTCTAAAGACCTATGACCAGGACTGAGACCAAAATGAGCGGTTTTAATTAAAAAAATATTTTTAATACTGCAATGGTATCTGACAGTTACACTCCCAAAACCTCAATTAGACTAACTGAGTTTAGTTG